GGTTTTGTTGCTTCTGTTGTTTTGTGTTGGTTTAGTTGTTTTTTCTCGTTTTTTATCATTATTAGTTATTTTCAAAATTCCAGTATCAAATGTGTGAGTGTGTGCCTTTGGGGGGTGGAAGACCCATTTGGTTCTAAGAAGCCGAGAGGAAACCATTTCTGGTTCTTTGTGTGGTCAAAACGGGGAGCCAGAAGCAAACCAAGTATATCCAACAAGTCACATACCCCAGGAACATATCCTTCAAACTCATGCTGGGAAGATGCAGGAAGATGTCAACTTCGAATCAATGCGGAAGGCCGCACTAATCAGGGGTGGGTGACCAGTTTATGGGCATGTGCATTTCATTGCAGGGGGATTCATCTGACTCATGTGAGCCACGATTAGAATGATTCCCGTAGCGGGCTCGTCCCCTAGTTTTCGTGGTTAACATTTAGTAAGTCCCCAATTGTTGGTCCCAAATGGATAGCAGAAACAGGACATCTGGACTGAATCTCATATTGCGGTCTTGCCAAAAACACAACCCATACCCATCAACCTTCAAAATTGATGAGTCATCCCAAAATCAGATATGGTCCTGTGTGACGGCCGAGGATCTTCCCATTCTTCCCAAAGTCCAACAAAAGCGTTTTCCCGCAGCTCGCTGCGGGAAAACATGTTTACAATGGCTTATGTTGGCCAAGCAACCCTGTAACAAAGGGGTCGGCCCCCCTGGCACCTAAGAAACCCTGGAATGATAAGCGATTCCCCTGCAAATACCAATGAACCATGGTTTCAACCATGGTTTTGAAAGTGGTGCGAAATAGATTTTGTCCATTTGGCCAATAGGGATGGGCATTGGACGCTGCTTAATTGAACATGGGGCAAGAGAAAACCCACCTCGAAACGGATCAGAATGGCGAGAGCAAGCCGTGAGAAAACCCATCTCAGCAGAAATCTCGGGGTTGAGTCCTTAACCATTCTGTTCAACCCTCGTTCTTTTCAAAAACCGGATCCGCCTCCCCAGGGTTTTGGGTGGTTTTGTAGAAAGAAGGATGCCTGCAAAGAATGGGGAAGGTACGCTTCCAATAGAGTGTAACGCAGACTTGCATAAAATGAATCCTTATGATCCAACAGTACCTTCCCAAAAGGAAACTCAATGCAAAACGGGCCAAAAGGTGATGCTCAGAACACAAAGGAATGGACACGTTGTTCGGACAGCTGCACGCGTCCGAGGCAAAACCTGAGCCAAATGGACTAAACCCCTTGTTGATTGAGAGGTTGGGGCGCAATCCGCCTTTTTGGGGGGACGGGACAGACCCAAAAACACCCAACCCGTTGATCAACCCGGGGTTGACAGTTCGTACAACAGGCAACCATGTCGGATCGACATAAGTGCGATCATGCTCATCTGGTTTTGTTGGCGTCTGGGAAAATTGCTATAGTTGCCTTGGATATAGCACAACCCCACCAGTACAGGACCTTCATAGAATCAGCGAGCTCGTTTGTTCAGGGCAAAGCAGCCGGCTCTTCTGCAACCCTATCACTGTCTGCGGCGGAGCAATGTACAACAATACAGCTACCAAACACCAACCTGTTTGTTGGGCGCGTCGACCGGTGCCGCCTTTGAAAGAGATCCTCAACCAATCACAGTTTGTACGTGTCATGGTCAAAACTCCTTCTGTGGCGGCCATGGTTCCTCATGGTTGTCTAATTCCCTATGTTTTTGTTTTTTTTTAGTATCCTTCAACTTCCACCATGGTACATGTGAGCCCCGGGAAAAAAAAAGTTACATGTTTCCCCCCTTCTGGGTAAAATTGGCTGGACCCGCTGGACCCTGTGGTTGCTTCACCATCACCGCACCACGCGCGTTCACATAGCGGAGATTTGCTGCTAACGTCTGGTGATAAAGGTTGTGTCAATCTCTCCTCATCGCCTCATATCCTCATTTCCTTATCTCCTCATCGCCTCATCTCCAGCAGTAGACTAGATATTGTCAGTGACTCGTATTGAGGCCCTCCAAAAGTAATTGTCGGATAGTATTGAAGGCAACCCACAAAGGCCCCACTTCATATTGGAGACTCATCCTATACGCTTCGAAGGGTTAGCCAACCAACGGTGGCCAACCCGCCTTCCGTGTCGATTCAACCGTTTTGCAAAGATGCAATAAGTTTCGCTACACATGACCACTTGATCTACAACAGTTGGGTTTGTCTCCAAATGAGGGACCCCTAAAATGGCCGGTTTTAATTTAGTATCCCTTCAACACGACACCAAAATATCACTTCCTGAGTGGCGTGGCAAAACAAGCCACCAAACTTTTTGTAATTTGCCACTTAAACAATGGTTCAAACCCCGAAAGCAAGTCTGGCAACTCGAGGGAGTGAGGAGACAAATACCCAGAACAAAACCCCAGGAATCCCCACCCGGGAACTTTTCCGGAACCCTCCCTCACAGCTGCTTTGACTCACCGAACTTCTTTGGGCCTATCGATCCCATACTGTGGATGGTTGCGAAATCCAGTTCGCACCACCGAAGAAAGCATGGTTGAAACCATGACGTCACTTGGTATTTGCAGCATGAAATTATCATGATGTCAGCGCTCTTTAGGTGCAGGATGTCGTCCATCCACAGTAACCTTCGGGTGAAAAAAAAAACGTGAGCCATGCATCTTCAGACTCGAGTTCTCACGGCCCCCCGGCTGGACAAAGCCCACCGCGTCCGTGCCATCCGACGCATAGTCCTGACATTTCGGCATCCCGAACTGCGACGAATCTCGGAACTGACGTTGGGTCAGGGGAGCAAAAATTATAAAATCTTAGCAGTTCAGTGGATTTGGATTTCAACCACCAAACCACAATAAGCGAAAAAAAACAAATGAAAAATGTAAAACCCAACAACGAACAGCGACCTCCCGGAACCGAATCTCCGGAACCGAATCCCCTGAAGGCTGCCTGCTGGTCGCGCCAAAAAAATGGGCCTAGCCACCAAATCCGTAGCTTTCAGCGGAAAATCCAACTCACGAGTCGGTCCAAGGAAGCCCAAAACCAAGTCCAACTCAGTTCCACAAACCGGAAGTCGCTCAAAACCCAGAGCTCCAGCGGATGGAAAACAAGGGCTCTGGGTTTGTGGTTGAGTATGTTGAACTTGAAAGGCTAGGTCCTCCAGTAGAGAGGTTAGAATCAGGGTACCGATCCTTTTTCTGTAGTCTATTTTAGGGGAACCCTCCCCGATAAAAGGGTAAAAGGGCACTACTGGGGGACCTAGGAGCCATTCATGAGTCGGTCAAACCACCGGCCAGCCATATATTTTGGGGGTCTCTGCGCCCTACGCTCCCCCCACCCGCAATGACCCCCCCCCCCGCGCGGTCGAGGTCGCGCGGGCCGTTGCCTGTGGCTTCTGCACTCCTCGGTCCACCGAGAGGCCGGCCATCTGCTCTCGAGGCTCGCTGCTTTTGGTTGGCTGCAGAACTGCCGGGCAGTGGTGCCATATCTCGGTTGCTAAAAGTTCAACTTTTAGTGGCTTCAGGGAAAACCGATTAGTTGGCGAAAAGTTGAAGTCCTAACATCCGTTGGCAACATGCACCAAAGATATACTTTACGCGCGAGAGAAACACCTGGATGAAACATGATTGCGTTGTTTGTGAAGTTGTCCGATCAAGACGTTGGCACCGTTTTGAGGACGTGGGGGATCCGAAGGCCGGCCTTGCCGAGATCTGGTTGCGGAGGTCTCGTGCACTTTTGGTTTGTGTATGTCCTAGCTGCCGGCGCGCAGGTCACGCAAGAACCTCTCACAAGTACCTGGCATTAAAGAAATCACGGCGTACCTTCCCCCAAGCACACGCGACGTACACAAGTAAACAGACAATGATTATAGATATCCCTAATATAATATATATATATATATACGGGTTTGTCTTTGTTGCATGGAGGATACCCTTGGGTTGGTTTAAAGAGAAACCCAAAGACAACCAACCCATTTTGACAAATCCCCACATGAGACCTGTGGCTGCCTGACTCAAATCTAGACACATCCCTAAGGTCCTCCAGTAGAGAGAGGTTAGAGTAAGGGTACCGATCTTTATTCTGTAGTCTATTTTAGGGGAACCCTCCCCCAAAAGGGGGTGAGAAAGGGCACTACTGGAAAAACCCTAGCATCTCTAAGGCCTTCTAGACAGTGGGGTCAGATGGTGGGATCTTGGCAGCAGCCAAATCGTCGAAGGAAAGGCTGCAACCTGCGCCACTGGTTGTTGGCCCAATGTGAGCTGCGACAAGGCAAAGAGTCTGAATAGAACTCCGGCCTTCTTTTTTCTGGAGTAGCGGAACTGCTCACGACAGAAGCAGCGAACCCAAAAACAACACTACAAATGCCTCAAAGAAACCATATAAGAACACGGGGACCAGTTTGTGCTCCAGTTCCTGCCCCGCATATGACACCTTTGAGTGTGCTGGTCACACATTTCAGCAGGGCTGCCTTCTTTCAAGCCTCTTCAGGCACAGGGATTCTTTCCCGCACAATTCGAATTCTGTGTCTTGCGCCACCCTTCTCTCAGCTTGGCCCAAAGGGAAGCCAAAAGCACCCCCCCTTCCCATTTTTGAGCCCTATAAATTTCCGTAAATGTCTTAGGGGACTATGGGCATTCTCCATCTCGCCCGCGACTCGCGACCACCCTGCCGCCTGCGTCCCTGTTAGGTCAGAAATTCGCCTCTGGTTCACTACAAGCAAAAACAAAAACAAATACATCCATTCTATGCAAGTGGTAAAAGTGCCCCGCCTCGCGCGATGCAAAGCAAGACAGACATGTTTTTGCATTATCTGCCCACGTCGCTGTACATTTCCGACCTCTGCTTTGAGCAGGGGCTGCTGGAAAGGTAGGAGCTGAAATCGAGACATCGCCGAAGAAGCTACGGTTGATTCCAACATTGGTCGAAATAAGAGACTCGCTTTTTTGTGATACCTCCACCCAAACCAAAAGGGAACCGAAGATCCCGGCAGCATTTTGCGGTCCAATTCTATTCCTATGATAGGAACTCATTTCGGGGAATCAACGGGCGCTGGCCCTGCAAGACCTTCACCCGGCTTGCCGCGCCCACTGGGACCTTATTCGACATGGAAGCTTACAGTCTAAGCGCTGGGGACAACCCTTGTAACTCAAAGGCAGCGAGAGGAGAAGAAAGTTTCTTGAGTCCTCTGTGCTCACTGTGATTGCGTTCTAAACGAGAGAGCGAGACAGACAAAGACAAGCCGAGAGACGGGCTTGTCACTCGAATGCTTGACTTCTTGATTTCCTTTCGGGTTCCCTTTGAGCCGACCCGAAAAGGGGCCGCCTCAAAACCAAGACACACCCAGCGCGAGAGAGAGAGAGAGAAAGAGAGAGAAAAAGCGAAAGAAAAGAAAGAAAGAAAGAAAGAAAGAAAGAAAGAAATAAAGAAAGAAAGACAGAAAGAAAGAAAGAAAGAAAGAAAGAAAGAAAAGAAGCAAGAAAGGAATAGTTAAATAAAGAAACAAAGAAATAAATAACAACAGAAAGAAAGAAAGGAATAATACAAGAAAACAATAAAGAAGAACATAAGTAAATACAGACCACAAGAAAACAAGAAACACATGACTCAATAAATAAATTAAAGAAAGACAGAAATACCGCAAAGAGGGAAACAACGCAAGAAAGCAAGAAAGCAAGAAAGCTAGAAAGCAAGAAGCAAGAAAGCAACGAAGCAAGAAATACAAAATAACAGAAAATACAGCTAGAAAGCAAGACATCAAGCCAGAAAGAAAGACATCAAGAAGTAATGGACAAAACGTACATGAACAGAAACAGACGGGAATAAGGAAGGAAGGAAAGAAGGTCGGAAGGAAGGAAGGAAGGAAGGAAGGCAGGAAGGCAGGAAGGAAGGAAGGAAGGCAGGAAGGAAGGAAGGAAGGAAGGAAGGAAGGAAGGAAGGAAGGAAGCAAAGAAACAAGTAAATACCGAAAGAAAGACATACACAAAGAAAGAACATCAAGAAAGATTGAGCGCCACAAGTGGCCTAAAGTCCCAAGTCGGCTGAGGTCCCACCACTGACGCGCAACCTCAAGCTTTCGTCTAGATTCAGGCAAAAGCAAAGCGACAGGAGGCCACAAAGAACACAAATCTTCGAGCAGTGGGTCTGGTATAACAAAAAACTTCCTCCACTAGAGAGGTTAGAATAAGTTGGTACCCGATCTTTTTTCTGTAGTCTATTTCAGGATCGGGAACCCTCCCAACGAAAACAGGGGTGAGAGAAGGGCACTACTGGGGGACCTAGGAGATGCAATGTACAATTCACAGATGCAATGTACAACTCACAAGTCCACAGCAATGCGGCAGTACGGTTGATTCCCTAAACGGAAGCACGTGAACCACCGCATGTTCATCCATGTTCCTGCTAATAATCTCTTGGCACTCAACAGAAGCTCAATCTTTCAAATCTTTGGCGCACAAAGGAAACACTACGTATTTCGTTTCAGCGGCGACCTCGGAATAAATATCTGACACAGAAGCAAGCAACTGGAGCTTGGTAGATTTCCAGCCGTGAGTGAAACGCTTGTCAACATCGCCTTCTCAGAATCTCAACCACGTTGTAACTATGAGCTCGGGTTTGAATTGGGGAAACACCCCGGCGTTTTGACATCCTGGGAAGGCCAGCAACTTGCCCATGTTCAAAAGCATTGCGTTCCCTGGGGAGAAAAGAGACAAGCTCTTGCAAGAAAACCGGCTCTCAATTTCGTCCCAACGCCATCCACAAAACACCACTGGCTTCATGCCCGGAGTAGGTCCTTGCAAATCAACCGTGAGGCGTCGTGCCAACCACAGGAAACTCTATGCGCAACACGGAGACAGTCCGTAAAGAAACAAAAAACACATCCGTCCTTTCTTTGCGGCGCTGCCTTCATTTTGTGCTGAACTCTCAGGGGCCAATGGGGCCACTCTCCCGGCCAGCTAATCGGCACCGAGTCGCCTTCAAATCACTGCGAGATCCAGGCCACCATGAGAGGCGCCGCCTGAGCTGCTCGATTTGGTGCAAAGTGACCGACCCGTTCGGTCCCATCCGAAGGGACCCTCCATTGGAGGGGGAAGGCCAACTAAGATCGTTTCACAGGGGATACCCATCCTCATAGCCTTGGAAGAACCACTCCCATTAGCTGAAGCCCCTTGGAACAAATGACATATGTCCAGTAGTGATAGATTCCCTCTACAACAAACAAGGGAAAAGCAAACATGTGTTAAGCAGATGGAAGTCCATGAAAGATCAATCACAAAACAAATGGGAGAAACAGATAAGCTCTGGTTTCGTTTCAGGAGATTGTTCCAATCCTCTTGAAGGGGAAGGTAGTCGGACAACCCTGCTCACCGCTTGCCTCGCCTTGCTGTGCTCATAGTAAGACATCCTCAACGCTCACTGTCGCCTCAAGAAATATCCCAAAAGTCGCTTTGAGATGCCCTGAGTGAGCTTTGAGGATGCCGCATCACCCCAAAAGTAACTTTGAGAATCTCAACCACTTCAACCTGGACCAAATGTTTCAAACCCAGTTTGCCCAACTTTCCCAGACCCGCCGCCTCCGGGCGGAACCCGCTTGGCAAGATCCACGTTCCCGGGCAGGCCTCGTGCCGAACCGGGAGGAAAGGTCTCATTGAGGGTACCCTTTTCTTGGTTTAAGGGGCAACAAAAAGGACACAACCATTTTTGGGGTCCCCGTATTTTGACACATACTCTTGTAAATTCAGCGCAAACCTCCACTGTTTTTCCCTGGGACCAGATGCGGCACCCTTTTTACTCTCTTTCCAAAAGCTGAAGGTTAGAGACGTTTGAAAGACCATTCTCTTGACAGGGCCGCAACTGTCCACTTCCGTTGTTGAACAGGTATGTCACTTGCCTGTTACAGTTCTACTGCGTGGGGGGGGGGGGGGGGGGGCGGGGGCGGGGCAGTTGTCCAAATTAGGCTCCCATTTGCCATCCCCTTCAAAGGGGTGGCACGAGGCGGCACCAGTTTTCAAATGTTTGACACCCCATGTGCTGGGGCTCCTCTTGCCGTGCTCGCGGACGTGGTTGGCTTGCTTTGGCATCGCGATTTATCGGTGCAAGCGTCGGATAGTCTGTTTTTGAACGGATCTGCGGTTTAAAGAATATCCAAGTGATGGATGCCTTGCCAGTTAGGAATTGTGAATCATGCATACGGGGAGAAGGGGGTCAAAAGTTGTACAAGCCGGTGTTTCACCCATTTCAAAGATCTCTGCTTAAACATGAGCGTCGGCACGCAAAAACTTCCTTTGCGTCCTGGCATTTACGACTGGCTGGTAGCCTATACGATCTTGATACGTAAAACCGAAAAGGGGCCGTGGGTAACCTGGTGCTTCTCCTTGCATCTGCCGAAGCGTTGAGCTCCTGTTGCAACCTGTGGATATGGGACTCTCCTTTGGAGTAAAGCGCTGCATGTGCAGTGAAACCACAACGGCGGCGAGCCCTGCGAACCCACTTCATGGTTTAGAAAGGACAACAAGGCGAAAAGGGGTGGATTCCTCGTTGCAAAACCGTGGACTCCAAATGGTGAACACACCCCTATGGCGACTCCACAAACATCGGTCAGCCTTTGCCCCCTTGGATCCCGAGAAACGGATGGCACGCGACGTAGCATGTGGCAAAGCTGGGGGGGTGCCTCGCCCTTCTCAAGATCGTCCTCAAAACAATACCCGTTTCTCAGCTCGCCAGTCCCGCCACATGGGCGCTTCTCTAAATCATGGACCTCATCCAGATTCATCTAGGCGTCCGTTTGATTTTCCTTTAAACCCTTTGTTGGACCTCATGTCGGGGAGTTTTGTCCGCCTATAATGCTTACGTCTAGCTGCATCCTCCCCATTCTGTTTCGGAATCCTCTTCCCAAAAAGGGCTGAAGAAAATGGGTGAAAATAGATTGGAATCGAGCCGAAGTGACTGAGCCAAGAACCCTGAGTGAGACTATAAGACTATAGAAGCAACTTGTCTCCAGCCTTTATCCCGTATTTTCCACAGGTTCAAAAGCTGCATTTCACCGCCAGCGTGCTCCCTTCAACATATCTCGCTGGTGCGATAGGCAGGGAATGAGACATGGAATGACGCCCCCCTAGACCCATCCCCTATGGTTTCCTCTATTCGGGAACCCCCACGTTCATGCCGTTTCTCATTCCCTACCTATCGCAGCAAAGCAATATGTAAAGGAACCGGTCTTTGGACCACACTTCACCATCTCATGGACTTAGGAGGCTGGCTATCCTTGTCCCTGGAGCCCAGTGGCAGAGAAACTACCACCCAACCTCAACATTGAAGCCTTCCAACTTCAAATCCCAATCCTTGGTTCACATTTGGGGTACACAGCAAGTATTACATATACAGGATGGTATGATCCGGTTTCAAATTTGGCTCCTAAAGCATGACACAGATTTGGAGCACCGAAACAGCGGTTCCTCTCAAACTCACTTCTTGACTGGAAAACACCCGAAAACATCCCCAAACTGGTTTACCGCTAAAAGGTGCCTTTTCAAAAAAAAAAAACAGCTCAGGGCCCCTTTTCAAAAAAAACGTGCTTTTTCCCCAAAACACATAAAGAGGGACTCGCCCAAACCATCTGCTCCCTCGGCTTCGGAGCAGACTCGGCCCCCCCGCAGCTCATCTCCCGCGCTTGGCGCCAGCGGGGCCAGAAGTCCAGGTCGTTGCGGAGCTCCAGCCCGCCGTACTGCCCGTCCTCGGGCGTCAGCCCCCGGAGACGAGGAAACCGCTTGCTCTAGGGAATTTCTTTGGAAAAACTCGGTCGGGTTTCCACGGGTTTCCATAGTATTAAAAAAACACACACACACACACAAATGGGTTTCCATGGTGAATACCTCCTTTTTGGGTAGAGGGTCGACATGATACCCTAAAAAGAAGAAACAAAAAAAGCAAAAACGGGTATTGGGTGTAAGTATTGGGTGTAAGGGGTATCCTTCTATCCTGAAGAACACAACAAGATGATTTGAAGAACGGCTAGCTCTAGGAAAGCCACACATACTTCAAAACGCATGGGGGATTCCCGGACTTGACTAGTGGCGCAGTTCCAGGACTTTGGCTCGGCCCCTTTTTGTCTGAGTGACCTTCGAACGGTCCTTCTTTGAGCCGTTTTACCTTGGCACACACCCATTTTTCTGAATCCCTGGAAAAGAAAAAAGAAAGAGATGCGAGCTTGATGTTTTGCAATGTCCAAAACCTGCAATAGATGCGTGTGGTAAAACCGGCTTCTCGAAGACACGCTCGTCTTTCTTTGAGGTCCTTTGTTTGGTTTGGTTTGGTTTAAAGGGCAAACCCAAAAGGAAACCGTTTATTGGGCAAACCCAATAAAGTCTTTGGGCAAACCCTTTAAAGGGCTTTGTTGGTTGCCGGGGAGGTTTTTTCAGGGACATCAAAAGGAAACTGCGAACTGTTGGTTGATTGCTTAGAATAGGGGTACCCGATTTTTTGCTGTAGTCTTTTTTAGGAGGGGAACCCTCCCCCAAAAAAGGGCAAAGGGGCAGGACCTAGGAATACAAGGTGTTGATTGTGACTCACCTTGCGATTGTCAAAGAGGGAACCAAATGGCTTCTCAAAGAGCGCTTCAAAACGCTTGGTCTCCTTTTGGGATCCCTGCCTCTTGGTTGGTACTAGGTGCGATATTGGTACGGCTGGGACCCTCCCCGGCACCCCAAAACCGCCCCCCAGAGAAGGCCGTACTTGGCCGTAGTTGGCCACTTGTTCATCCCTCATCCCTATGGGGGGTTAGATTCTACTTGGGTGCTCGATTCGCTAAGTCAGCAAGTTGGCGGTAACCTAGGTTATGACCTATATTTATATTGGGGTTAGCCCAGTCCTTAGCGGGTTGTGACCCAGGTGGCGAACCACTCACTAACGCGAGTCGAACATCCGAGTAGGGGCAAACCCCCTGCTGCGAGGCTCGTACTCCCCCATGTAGGGGTTCTTGAAGCCCCAGTACCAGAGAGTGTAGCCTGCCTCCGTCAGCAAATGCCCAACCACCTAGCGGCAGAGGCGTCAACACGTGGTGGATGGCCATATGTTGTGGTGTTCTTCTTCTTCTTCTTCTTCCAGGGCTTGTTTTTGATTCCCCATGTGGCCCATGTGGACAATTGGAGAAGCAGCCGCAAACTGTGGTACCACAAATATTGGTTTTAATCACTTAGTTTTGGCACTTACCGTCAGCTACAGGGTTATTCCAAAAGGGCATGCCTGAGCAGGGATCCTTACATTATACACCTGAACATTGCCTTGTAAATGGTGGTTTCCCTTTATTTTGCTGGAAAAAGCAAAAAATGCTTCAAGTGGTTGCAACATGTATCTGTTAAGGAGCCCTGTTGAGGGTGTTCTAATATTGTCCTCGAATTGAACTGGTTCTCAGATGTTCAGTTGAACCCTTTTTGGGGAAGACCCTTTTTAGTGGGGCAGCCACCAAAAAAACAACTGAGGGTTTCCCTTGGGTCTGGAGCAGCCGATGCAACTGGACTTCAGCCCAATTTGGACCCTTTTGCAACGACCAAATCAGCTTCCTTCTTGGTGGGGAGGTGCTTTCCCATCTGGGCTGTCCGTTTTCAGATCCCCTGCCAAAAGTGACTAACTTTTAGAGGGTTAAATGGAAACCCCCACTAAACCCTAAAAGTCAAAAAAGCCAAGGAACCGGATGCCCGGGAACCACCAAGCCGTTTACCCTCTACAAGAACCAGAGGTTCGACTCCACAAACCAATCCCAACCGCCAACTAAGGGCTGCTTAAGTTACCTGACCAAAATTGGGGGACCACCACGAAGGCCCGGCAGGACGCCTCCCCGTCTGAGTCCGTGCCTTTGTCAGAATCGCGCCCGGCGACCGACCATCGCGGAGCATGGTCCTGAGGCGTTGGCTGTTCGGCGAGCCTCGTTGTCATGGAACCTGAGGTGTTTTTTGACACACAAAGCATGGCATGGCTCCCTACACCTTTCTAGGCCTGCATGGCCTTGCCAGCTTCTGGCTCAAATTTATCTCCATTTACAATGGACCTGTCTCAGGGCTACTGAAAAACGTTCCTCCAAACGGGGACCCTTTGGTGGGTTCCGTGTCAGGCGGGTAAGAGCGGTTGCAGAAGGCGAAAAACATGGATGAAGCAACGGCAATCATGAAACACTCTGTCGGCAGCCAAGCAACGACGACACAACGTCAACGCCACGCAACGACGACACAACGGCAACGACGAGGATGAGGACAACGATAAGGCTCAACTCTAAGCTCTACATTATATAAGCGTAGAAAAACAATGACAGGCAACATGATAGTGTTGTATATGATACATCTCTGCATAAACGGCACTTTCAGGAGCCATATTGTTTGTTGTATTAGCGCGGTTCAACGCTATTGCATTAGCACAATCTAGCAAGCACGTACGTAATAGCTTTAGCATTAATAATGGAGATGTCTGCAAGAAATGCTATCTATAGAAGCGATGGGTATGTTTCTCAGGCTAGCCGTGGAGCATTGCAATCCTCTAGTTCTAGAAATGGGGCTGTATCTAATCTCTATCTGGCTTTGTTAGAAGCGCATTGCAAATGTGTGTTGCAGGAATTGGCGCTTATAACGATTATTGCCATTCCTAACTACCACCGGCCAACACAATTCAGCAGCGTCAAGCATCAGAGCGACAAAGTGGAATTCACACAGCAGAAGTATACCTTGCTACAGCAACCACACAACTTGGGCAACCACAACCTCTGCAATCACAACCACAAGCAGAACAACGATCAGCAGAACCAACACCACAACCATCAACCATAACAACCTCAACGACCACACCAATCGCAACATGCTGCTGCAGCAGTAGCAGCAGAAGAAGCAGCAGCAGCCACGAACCCCAACCAACAGGCAGATATATATTACCCGATGCTCAACATACTCAACGAAACCAAGGAGCCAAGAAGCAACAAGCTGAAATCAACAACACAACAAACTAAAACACCTTACACACACCAAAAACAGAAAAAGAAAAAAAACACCACCAAATAACAAGCACCACGACCAGCACATCTACACCCGCAGTGGCGGCTGACCGACCACTCAAAAGTGCGATCGAACTGCGCCGTGGTGTAGTCGTGGAAGATGTCCCCTGGCGATTGAGTCCCAACACTGGGCTGCCCTCAGATCCCCCGCTAAAAGTGGCAAATAGTGGGTGAAACGGAAACTACCACTAATCACTACAAGGCTAAAAAGCTAAGGGGATCGCTGGCAGCCACCAAGAAAGGTAAAATAAGGGAAGCACCAGGAAAACCGAAGCCATCTTAGGGGCTCCAACCTTCAAGAAGACACCCTCCAAATTACATGACATCCTGTTTTTCCGCGACTCCCCACGTGCGGGCTGCAGCGGAATGCAAATCCTTCAGCCAAACTCATGTCCAAACGCGACTGCTGAAAAACCTGCGTCGCGTTTGGCGCGCGAGCAAACCCAGGGTGTGTCTTTCTGGGGAACAATTCTTGGCTTGATGCGGAAACCAAAGGGTTCCGCCAATTTAGACACAGCCAACTGCAGGGGCTTCCCCAACAAACTGCCTTTCTTTACAGGGGCTGGCGGCCTGTAAGGGGAACTAGGTCCTCCAGTAGAGAGGTTAGAATAATGGCACTCTTTTTTCTGTAGTCTATTTTAGGGGAACCCTCCCAACCCAAAAACAAAAGGTGAGAGGTCGGGCACCTAGCTTGGGCCACTAGGGAACGAGAGCGGCAAGTCTGAATGCAAATTCTTTCATTTCCAAAACGCCTCCCAACATCTGCAGCACTTCAAGGCGCCACTGCGCAGTGCTTTCCGACTTGGTGGCCGGACACTGTTTTGGGTGCATGAAACTCAACCTGAAGGAGTTTTAAGGACTCTTGAGGGCTAGAATCCTTGCACCCTGCGCAATATGTTTGCTTGAAAACCCCAAATGCTCAGAGGCCTTTTCAGAAAAAAAGAAGAAGAAGAAAACAACACATCGAAAATGGGCTCCTTTGTCAAGAAACACGCAAAACTCCCCCCGACTGTACACCAAACGTCATCTGTTTGTTTATTGTTCATAGTTAATCAACCTAAAACATGACATACGTAAACAGGCTCTCCGGAGTGTCGAAACAAATTCGAGCAAAAAACGGCTCCCTTGTGGGATACACTGACATACTTGACAATTACCAGCTTCCGTCTAATTGATGCTTGGATAGCTTGGCGGTGTTTCGGGATGGGTCTCCCAAGGACCAGGGCTTCAAATCTCAATCCAAGCCTCCAACACATGAAACCAAAGCATGCGTTCACCCCAAACAAAAAACGTGTTCGCCCCATTTTTTGGGGTTACAAAACATGTGTTCACCCCAAACAAACGTCCGACCAAAGGGTTACGTGAGTCATAATCAAAAGCCGGCAGTGGTCTACCCAGAACCATATAAAGAATTAAAAAGGCGATTCTGGCTGGGACTTTCCCTACTAACCTTCATCTACCCGGCTTTGATAATCGCTCACGTGAACATCTCTTTGCCCCAAAGCGGATTTCTCCCACCCGCCTACGCTCAGCGCCATGATGGCGGCTGCGAGCTGGCCCGTGCCTTGCGATTCTGACGAAATCTCGCGAGGCCGCGAGGCGACAGGCCAGGGGGGCCGGCGATTCTAGGGGTGGATTCCAACAGAGGCCTATACGTCCAGCACCACATCTTCCCCCGGAAGTCGCTGCCCTTTTTGCAAGATCACGCAATACTCCAGGAATTCTTTGACTATTTACCTCAGTATGGGGAAAATCACCAAACCGCCACTCCAAACCAACTAAGGGGGAAGCTGAAGCCCTTTCTAGGGGTTGATTCCTGGTCCATTATTTTTTGACCATCGTTGTTTTCAAAAACCAGAGCTGTTTTCCCTGGGATAGAAAGGTACAGACCCGGTTCCAGGATTTTACCCAGCCAAGTTTTCTCGCCCAGACTTCACCTCCAGGTAAATCTAGAAAGGTAAAGAGGTTTTCTAGAAAGAAGGACCCCTGGAAAGAGTGGAAATGGAAGGTACCCCAGGAGCAATGGTTGAAGTGGGCTGGAGAAGAGGGGCGGGCCGCCATTCTTTTGGCACGTGAACCAATGGTTCACCTGTGGGTTCCCTTCAACATTCTAGCGGGGCTGTCCGTGTTCGGATCCCCGGCTAAAAATCTACTGTGGGTTTAATGGAAACCCGACCACTAAAGCAACTAAAAAGCTAAACATCCAAGGGCGATGGCTGGGAATCACCAAGTTTAATGGGTGCATCCTTCTTTTGCAGCCTCTTGTGGGTTAGTTTTAAAGGGAAACCAAAGGACACCGATGCCATTTTGGGGTCTAATTTCTGAGGCACGGCTGGAGATTCTCAAATTTCGGGAACAATGTATGTTTCCCTTTGGCTCTTTCAAATACGAGAAACCGTGTGAGTTTAGGGTACCTTCTTGGGTGTGTTTCAAAGGTAGACCAAAGGGACACCACCCTTTTCGTACGTTCCTGGAAGGTTGGAGACAATGCTATACTAGGAACAGGAAGCATGATGGTTCATGCTACCCAACATATGCAGCGCAGTCCATGTCACAATAAACCCCAGACATGTGTATTGCAAAGTTGCGCCATTCCAAAAGATATTGGTCTTTTGGAAGATTGCACTTCCAAAGCATACCAGGACCAAAAGACCCGCAAGCGACCTATGTTGAGCTCGTTGTGCCAAATGCTGAAACAGTGGCTCAAACCACAAACAAGCAAAACACAACTATGGGGCCCGATTTGTTCTCATGATCACCCAGGGATTAAGCATGATTAAAACATGGGGTTTTGCCACCAAACTGTTTGACCAACATCCTTCTGGCTTCCCAAGGAAGGATCTCCAGCCCCCCCCGTTCTCATAGGCCCCGCATCCCCCCCCCCCCCCCCGCCCCCTCTATTTTTTTACTCCAAATCCATAAGTATTTAGAGCTTCCCCCCCTCAAATCTTGGTTGCTGTCGATCCCTCTGCAAACAGCTTTTCAACTTTATGTGGGTCTAATGGAACATCCACTTCTGCAAAAAGTGTCTTTCCCGTTTGTGGGTCCAACGCAAAATCCACTGTGTCTCAACCAAAAGTAAACGGCCAAAGATCCGGTAGCAAATGGCCATAAAGAACCCAGTTTGGTTTGGGGCGCTCCCGAGAGATCCTCCCTCCCACCAAGGCTGGAAGCTGCTAAGATCAGTTCAGGGATCTCCTTCACCTTTTGGATGGTGGGGTTTGCCCAGGGATATTGAAGGCAAAACCAGTTCTTGCAAATCTGATTCGTTTGAAGACTTCCAATGACCTTTTTCCGCTTTTTAGGCGTTTGTTGCACCCCAACTCACTTTGTTGGAGCCCTTTGCAGTTTCAGACCGTGGTTCCAGCAGTCCCAAACAAACCAAACACATCCAAACACACACGCACACACACATGTCAGCGAAAGTACTGGGGTCCGTGGTGACGGGTCAGGACATGCAAACTCTCTCGAACCCAGCACCCCCCCTCCAAAACAAAATGGCTGGTTTTTTTTGGGAGAGTACTTGTGATTTTCGAGATGAGAAAAAGATGCGGCGGCAATAAAAACCAATCTGGTTTTAGTGACGGACCTGCGATGTAAGAACCAGTCAAGAGAGACTTTGGCCTGTGTTGAACCTCATTTTCTGGTTCTGGTGAGCCCCCTGCTGGGCCCAACCCAGCTTCATACTGTACATACTTAGCCAACCTGAAAAATATAACGGGGTGGCCCGAAAGACTATAGCATATAACGAATGTTGATTCTCAAACAGTTCTGCGTGCACTCGTTTGCGCAATGTGTTTGCAAAGCATACACCCTCCCTCCCACTAACATGGTAACTGACAGGGACCCGGCCCCTTCAAAGGAAATCATCTCGGAGAGCGTGCGAAGGCGGGGCGGCGCCTGGGATACCGAAGGTTCCATTGCGCTGGCTTTGGCTTCTGCTAGCTCTGCGCACTGTTTGCACGCCGTGGCACTGCGCTTGGGTCTTGCGTGTGGCTTTCGATCTTGTGCTGCCAGCACCCTTCTGAATAAGTTTTGAAAAACCGTCCTCCGAGCCTCATTTGTTGGCCCTTTGCCGCGTGTTTTTGCACGCCGCGCCACTGCGATTGGGCGCAGAGGGGGCGCTGGCGCCCTGGGCCGTGCCTTGCCTGGTCTTGCACGCGGCGCTTGCCTGCTCCGGGCTTCATTTCGCACTTGTTGCGCATTGCTGCCTCTCTGCTGTCTGCCTCATGCAGTTTTTGCACGCCGTGGCAGCTGCGCGTACGGGCTGGAGAACCTGTGCACCCATGGCGGGACGGACGAGTGCACATGGTGGAAATAGTCCGACGGCAAGATGCAGCAGTACTGCTTTGCTCGCCAAGTTCAACTCAAACTCCTGCGGGCCCAACGGCTGCAGCCCGGCAAAGCTGATGGCAGGCTCGACGCTCAGAAGATATGGGTTCATGAGCTTGATTAAGGCCCCTCATGCGCTTGTGTTGGATGCTGCAACTCTTCAACAGGTGCCTTCAGCGGATCCTCACCACGTGCTGTCGCAGCTTGGCTCCGAGGCACGCTTGCGCCTGGCGGCAATCACACCACACACGTCATGGCCACACCTGCTAGGGCAACCCAATCCCCCATACAATGGCAGGTGCACCAAATGCTCAGCAAGGCAATCACGCAGGCAGACCCGCCAGTGGTGCGAATGACGGAGTGATATTATTACATAGCCCTGCCAAAAACGCAAGTCCGCTGATTGCAATGTGAACCTTTTTCATCAACGTTGCCAAAATTCACAACACGGCGCTGCGAACACTTGCTGGCATAAAAGTGGTCGACAAGGCTCCACGCGGCCAACCATAGCTCAAAACAACCTGGACCTTCCAACGTGCCTGAAATTCCTGCTTTTTGGCATTCGTACATGTTTTTCCTGGCTTGTCCTCCTTTTTAGACGCATGCGGACTGTCAGGTCCTATAATACCAAGAGATTCGTTGCGGTAGCCGCAGAGCAAAAAAGGCGCCTTTTGGATTTGCGGGCTGTTCCTACTAACTTGCGGCGTTTTTTTGGTTGAATTGTGGCAACTTGTTTTTTGACATCCGCTCGCTTCGCTTACAGGATAACAACTTGCACGACTTCGCGCTTCTGCCATTTGGCTCAAATCAGGTTGCGCGAGCCTGGGAACATGAGGTGAAAATTGTTGGATTTTCGCAAAGGGGTCCAAAAACGTCCCACAAACAAAATCAACCCGGTAATTACAGCCTGTGGCGTTTTCCGCATTTGTTCAGTTTGTTCCACCCCTGATTTGCGGCGGAAATAGGCGGGAATGCGGCGAAAATCATGCAGCGGAAATTCTCTGATCAGGTTTGTGGGGCAGAGGAGGCTCTCCTTGGCTTGCATCCGCACATTTTGGGATCAACTGGCAACATGAGTTTTGACGAATTGAAAGATCGGGGTAGCAAGCTGTCCTCCATGATAGTAGGCTAAGCATAAGCCCAAGTTTCTATCCCCCGGCAAGCAAACATGCTGATCCCACACCGCTTCTGAATTCTTTCTAGCTCCATTCTCCAATGAATGTTTCAAAGCAAGCGGCGCTGGAATTCGGGCACTTATTGAAAAAAGCGAGCAGAAAACATGAATGGAAGGTCCAGGAACTTCATCGCACAATAGCCAGCAGCCAACCGCAACTTGATGAGTCCGAGCGACGCTCTCCGAGCAAGATCTGGGAGCATTTAGCGATCAGGAGCGGCTTGAGTGGGACTCCCCCACAAAAGGCATCATTCTCTTGGTTGCTCCCATGGTGGGCCTCGCCCTTTGCGACTTCTCTCTGCTGGGAATCCTGGAGCCTCTTCTTCTTCGTGTCAAGCAGAAGGCTTGCCGGCTTGCACCCTCAAAACCGGCACGTGCTTCGTCACGATCGATGCCAAAGAGCAGAAGCAAGCCCCTCGTCAGCAACTTCCAGCCCCTCGACCTTCGCACCGCGAGGCCCAGTCGCACGGGCAGCTCCTGATTCTCTGGCAGGAGGTCCGGCCTCACGTCCTTCTTCCTGTCGCAGCCGCACTCGGCAAGCGTCAGCCTGCTAAGACCAAATCAAGCAATGGTCCCCGCATGATTGTTGCCTCCTCCCAAGAAAGAGCGGTGAGCCCCAAACCAAAACCAAGCGTCTTGGCCCCAAAAACTGTCAAAAACTCGCGCACCTGCTCCCAAACTACTTCTGTACTACACTAATAAAATCCAATGTGGCGCGGCTCCTGGTGGGCCTTGTTGCCTCAGGAACACAATTCATGAGCTGTGTTGAGGGTAGCTCACAGGTCTTGAGAGCGGGTTTCGGCCTTGCTGCTGGCGGCCGAATTTGACTGGGAAAATCGCTCTTATAGAGGCTTTCACATGGTGTTAAGTCACGCTCGAACGAACAACAGGCAAATCCGCGAAACCAAACCCCAAGCCCCCAAACTGCGTGCCCGACGCAACGTTCCGCTGCGCTGTGAGCCCAGTCGCACACCGGCGCTAGCCCATTCTGCTAATCTTCCAGCTGCCTCCGTACAGGTGCCATGTTGGTAGGAGGAAATATATATATATATATATTTATATATGTATCGATGAAGGCAAACGTAATTCGGATCCATGCCAAGAAGCTCTTCTCCCAAAGCTCAATGGAGTACACCTTCAACTCCCCATCCTCCTTCCTGCACCTATCCAGGCCCTCGATGAGGTCTGGCGTGATCCAAGAACCTCAGGGATCAGATGGCATCTGCCAGCGCTCCGTGAAAGCTGGGCATGTCGCAACTACATGTTGTCTCTGTGAAGCCCTTATTAAGCCCTTAGTAAGGCCTTAATAAGGCCTTAACAAGGGCTTATTTTGGGCTCCCTCCCCCTCCCCTCCCTCCCCCCCAGCCCCTGTGAAAGAAGCACATCTCTGCTTCAAATTTCTCTCATCGCCCGGGCCTCGGCCTGCCTCCCGGTGAGTGCGCTCGCACTGCTGGAAAGTCGCCCTGAAGTTTGCGTTCACCTCGGTCCCTTTTCCCACCAATCTTGGGTGCTGCAGATGCCCCAGCAAAAAGATTTAAACTTTCTGCTGGTTGAAAGGACATATCAGGGGAATCCAAAAAGTTAAAGTCTAAAGACCCAACCCAATAGCAGTAGAGCAATTAACATGGAACCTGGGGGGGGTCCCTTTTCCCATCCATTGACATGGAAACTGAGGGGGCGGGGGTTTGGAAGACCATTTTCTAAAGGGACCCTCTGTTCGGTGCCGTGTGAATTGGAGGGAGGGTATGTCCCCTTAAAACACCCTCTCTCTGCAATAGGCCAGAAAGACCGGAAAGCCGATGTGTCAAATCCGAAAGAAATATTGGGGAACCCTGTTAGAACATGAAGGCAAAAGGCGAAGCCCAATCCTGCGTGAGATGAGGGGCGAACAACACATCCTTCCACTTACCTGAGACACCAATCTCACTCGTTGTTTTGGTTCAGGCCCTAAATGAGTTGCCGCCCCCGCTCCTCACGTTGGATTGAGAAATCCAGCCGAGGCAAATCGCCTCTGCCGCTGGGGTTTGCTAGGGGTCATCTCAAGTTCAACCGAAAGCGCAGTAACACACGTGTACCACGGTCAAAATGCGCAGCTTCTCTTCTGGACATGGGAGAAAATATTCGCCCAAACCCTGAGTTGACCGAGGACCGCTGGAGACTTAGGCCGTTTACTTCTCATACACAGGTGTCCTGTTTTCTTTTTCAGACAATCACCGCCTGCCGATCCCATCCGTCGAAGCAGCAGTGAGGCGAAAGTCGCTCTTGTGCCGGCGCACCTTCTTGTTCCTCAACCTCAGCCCGATTTCAGCAGACCACTGCACTTTCGGTTCTATGGCCTTACTATAACCAAGTACCTACCCGAATGGACAAGCTCGCTTGAAAAGACGCCAAGGATCCCAGAGTCCCAACCAGCTTTCTAAAGTGGTGGAACCAACATGGCAACAGTAACTGGATATCCCGTTTTGCAGCAACCCCATGACCGCGATGTATATTAAAGGTTTGTGTTGGCCACTATAGACCCCACACGTTCTGCAGCATCCCCGTCTTCAACGCTCAACCAGCTGGCAATTCGTATCACCTCCTAAGGCCAACTGAATCTAGGAAGTGAGAGATCGTCCCTTCAGGAGGAAAATGGGTCCTTTTTTTTGCCGGGGGCCCCAAGTGGCTTCGGCGTTCCTTTCGTTTTTCCTTGGAACCCCCGGCGAAGGGAGGAACCTCACCTAGGTCCTCCAGTAGGTCCTCCAGTAGAGAGGCTAGAATAAGTTGGTACCCGATGTTTTTTCTGTAGTCTATTTTAGTATTTAGGGGAACCCTCCCCAAAAAAAGGGGATTCAAGGGCACTGGCGGACCTAGTCACCACAAAATGACGCACTTCCAAGTTCCAAGGGCCCATCGTCAGCTTCCTGGGGTCCCAGTCCATGGCTGACGTTTGGTCAAATCCAGGCAGTACCTGCGAGAAGCTTCGAAATGGGAATGAGCCCCATAAACCTTTGTTGTGGTTTCCTTAAACTCACTTGCTGAGTGGATGGCCCAAGAAAAGTCCAAACTTTATATTTGCCACGAAAATTGTCTTCCCGAAAAGTTTAAATTTCATGAACTCAGTAAAGGAAATATCTAGGTTAACCATCCCTTCTGCTTTCGTTTGAGGGAATCCCGAATCCCTGGGTGCATGACCTTCCATCTGGTTCGATAGGCAGGGAAGGAGAAATGGAATGACCCCCCAAACATAAATATGTATATATATAATATATACCCGATGTCCTTTAAGGGAAAACCCCAAAAGGTTCATTCCCAAAACCCGGAAGGACGTTCCCTACTGAGCACAAGCAAGCCAATCCTTATCCGATCAGTGCAACAGGATTCTATGGGCGATTCCCAAAATGGAAAGGACCACCTTGGGGTTTGGTATTTAGGGAAACCAAAGGGGACATGGACTTTGGGTACCTCGCTTTTGAGAAACACGCATTTGTTTTCGACACCCTGAGGATGATTTCATGAAATTTCCACCCTCGATCCAACAGTTCCAATCCTTCAGGTCTAGCGGGACCCCTTAATAAGAACAACTCCATGAAGTACTTTGACTTTGACCCTCGGAAACGGATCGCTGCTTCCAGGTTGTACTCTTTTGCTTGCTGGCCGAAGCGGAGCCGGAGACTCCACCGCCCTTTGTTTCCATCGGCTGGGGTTGCCAGGACCGCTTCCGCTTACGACTTGCTCTTCCGTCAGCTGGCGACATGGAGACGAGAGGTCAATGGGTCCTATGCAAGCTTTGCCCTGGGCACTTGGATTCAGGGAGCAGCTCCTTTTCATTTTTCGGATGAACCACCCGGCGTTTTACTAGGCATAAACATGATCTCTTTCAAACACCTCGGGCTTGGAAAACCGTTGGCCTGCTCCAAATGTGATGCTACGATATTGCTTTTCTTGAAATGTGCTTATTTGATTGTTATCTTAATTGAAATGTGTTGGTTCTTTTGCATGAAGCGAAGCAAGCAAGTCCCTGGGTTGAAAACATCCCCGCCTCACCCTAAGCACGCAGAAGCCGCCCTTTTTGAGGCGCCCCGGGCAGAAACCCGGTGCCAAAGAAGGCTCCTTCTTGCTTCTTAGACCAAGCGGGATAGATTCATAGGTGACCTTTTGGTAAAATAGATGGCCCTGGTCAATGAAATGAAACCCATCTAAACCAGAGCCATCTATTTCGAGAAAAACTCACCCAAAAAGGACACCCAGCGGGATCGAATCCGAAGCAACTCATCTTCATGGGCTGTCCATAGATCCCCTAAGAGTGATTAACTTTCAGTGGGTTCAATTCGGAAACCATCCCACGAAACAAGAGCTAAGGAACCGCTTTCGCCGGAAACCATCTAGAGTTTGGCCCAAACACCATCGGGAGGCGTTGTCATTGGCCCGGTCCTCCAAAATTGGCGAAGGCTACCCCCAGAAACACAAACCTCACCAGTGCCGCTGCTGTTAAATGCGTTGACCCTGGGATAAACACTTGCCGTGAGCAGCGCCCTTTGATGTTGACTTTGGTTCTACGCAGTTATATACAAAGGTTTGTAAAGGTTTACGTCGGTGTTGCATTATTCCGAATGAAACAAGGCAGTAACTTAGTAGAATCACCTACCAACATGGTCAGTACGGGCTTTGGGCGCTGTTCACTAGGTGCTAGCAGGCAAATTGATTTGAAGAGCTCTCGGCCACAGGTGCGTATTGTGTTTTGGGGGGTCTAAGTCACGGCGCCAATCATCATGCGTCTGGAACCTGGTGGCAAGCATGTTTCATGGCTTCGCGCCTCAACAAGCTCTTCTTGATGCAGCATTCTCTCGGATCGGCCCAGCTTTCTTGGGCATGCGGGGTAACTGGAAGGCAGGAAACCAGTTGACGAGTTCTAGAGGCGAGACAAATAAAAGACAAGTGCGTCCTAATATCCGTTCAGGAAACCATGGCGACACCAATCACACCCAAAACCCCTGCCAAGACCATCCTCGCCTGCGAATCGGATTCGGACATTGCGCGATGGGGGAATGCCTGGACGGCAAAGTGAAGCAGGCGTTGAGCCTGAGGCATGTGAGCGATGGTGGCCAGGGGGTCCCCGACATCTTGTCTAGTCTTGCCAAATGGGCAAAGGGATTCAGACATCAAACAGGGGCAATCCCCTCCGAAACGAAAGGGGGAAGGCAGCCCCGAACACCCAAACCACCCACCCAAACCGCCAAGGGAGCCGAGTTGAGCTACTTTCACTCAGCCAATGTAGCAAGGGCCCGTCACAATTCAAACCCGGCAAATTTTGGTTTACCCAGAACCATGCTTCAAGTAAGACGGATCATTATCCGCACCTCTTTTTGGTTGGAAGATCGTCCCTTAACCTTCATCTACCCGGGTGATTGTGACTCACCGGAAATGCGGCCCGCCTGCCAGCTCAGTCAGCCTCAATCCCTGTGTCGAAGTCGACTCTTCTTGCCGCTTCGATTGGCAGGTAAGGAGATAAATGGAACTATCCGGAAAAAAGAAAAGAAAAAAAGGAAAGAAAAAAGAACAAGAACAAACACATCCCCGATTTGGGTTCCCTTGAGGGCAGCCCGCAAACAAGTCACATTCCAAGACCCGGTCTCGGTCATTCATGATGTCATTCTCTATCGCGCCAGCAAGATATTATTGCGGCATTTGTTTCTCCGCGTGGCAGAGTGTCCCTCTTGACCTTCAGCCAGTACTTTGACCCGTGTGGGTGTGTTTATCGATTCTCGGGTTGGTTGAATACGGCCAACCAAAAACCAACCTTTCAGGGGTAGTTAAATCTTCATTGGGGACCCTGGACCTCATTTGGCTTGGGATTTCTGCCCCCCGGCCACTTTTGAGGTGGTGTTTTCCATGAACATTCCCAGCCCAAGGAGTTAGGCACGCATGGTTCACGCCCCAAAATCCGGCTCCCTGCGGCCCTTCTGGACCTGATTGGGCACTGAGGCCTCCGGCCATAAGGACCGCAGCACATCGAAGGAGGGCGAAAAGGTCCAGACCATATCCTCAGGGCCTTAGGGCGCGGAAAAGGTTCGTGTCTCAGGCCGTGACTCGAACATTGAAAGTCGGGTATCTTGAAAACCAAACTTCGTCAAGGGGTTGATTAGAGCTATGTCAAGTTCATAGTTCTCCCGACTGAGCCGAAATCCCTGAAAGTCGAACTTCAACTTAGTGAATTGCAATGGATTAGAGCAGCGAACTATTGGAATTCAGCACCCTATATTTCGCGACCGTTTCCTTGACCTATCAAGCGATCCACCAAAGGGTGGACAAGAATCAGTTTCTTAATGGCCCAGAGCGCTACCATCCCAAGGGACACTCGGGCAAAAACATCTTGCAGTGGGGAGCGAATTTGTGGCTAATCGCATGTTTTGGCGGAGATGCCGCTCACGTAACAGGTGTTGTCAGTACTCCGAGTTAGCATCGGGCGCATCGCTTGTGTTACGCCAACTTTGCTCCACAAAAATCAGTGGCATCAGCAGCACCTGCATCACACAGCCTCGCATCATCACCATCCGCTGGGTATGACTTGCGCTGCAGCATGCCTAGCGGGGCCTAGCGTTGCCGATGCTGCGGATACGGGTCACGCCGGCAATGCAGCTGAAGAAATGCCTACCTGCGCATTCTGCACTGATACTACTGACGCCAGTGTGGAATACCGACTGCGCGGATCGGACAACTCAGCTTCCAACTCAGCAATATGGGTGTGACTTTTTTTGGGGACCCCTCAAAATGGTGGTTTCCTTTTGGATTCCCTTGAAAAACCACAAAGAAGGGGTACAGCCAAAAAAAGACACACCCATATTGACTCGGATCGCCCACACATCAGCTAGCTCCTGTCAAGCTTGCGTTGCGGAGGTTGGCCGTGCAGCGTAGCTATGCCAATGCCTGAGTCCAAGTCTGATTTGGGATAGAGATTGACTTGGGCACTGCGCTCACTAGCCAACAAACAGCGAAGTTTCACTGCACCTCAGAAACTTCCCGGGCCGAAAAGTCCACACTTTTGTTTGCCATACTAAAATGGTCCCGAAATTAGTCGAAAGTCCGAAGCGGAACTCAGGGAGCGAGACATGCCCTCTCTTGCTAGGGCATTTGTTTGCGAAAACCTGGGTTTTCCAGAGTAAATATTGTTATTTTATTTTTTCCGGGATTCGCGACTTTTAGAAGCTACCAAAATGTATAGGTCATGTCAATGTGGATGAACACAAGCCGATTCGCGAAAGTCCGAAGCGGAACTCAGCGAGTGAGACATGGCCTCTTTTTCTGGGGCATTTCTTGGAAAACCTGCTTTTTATTGTTTGGAAAACCTGTTTTTTTTGGGGAACATATCTTCTTTGTTTTTGGAAAACCTGGGTGGTTTGTCCCCCGAAAGTTGCAAGAACTCAGGATCCGCCTGCTCTGGCCCCGGGCAAAGCCCCAGCCATTCGCCCAGCTCATGCTCGGGGCCCACGTAGGTAGGCCACATGTCCTCGAGTTCAGACCGCGACGCTGCCTTCCCTAGATCCAGTAGAGAGGCTAGAAGAAGTTGGTACCCCATGTTTGGTTTTTCAGTTTGGTCTGTTTTAGTAGGGGAACCCTCACCCAAAATTTCGGGGGAGAGAAAGGGCACTGGCGGACCTGGACTCAGCTTCCTTCCAATTGGTGATTTGGATTGGTGGTTTGGTGGTTAGGGAGGGGTTTTTTGTTTACCCTCTACAAGAACCAGGGTTCAAATGCCCAAACCACCAATCCAAACCACCAACTAGGGGTAACCTGAGCTTCTGTGGATGGACGAAATCCATTTCGCACCCCCGTTTCAGAAACCCTGGAATGATAAGCGATTCAACTGCAAGTAGTAATAAACGTTCTGGTTTCAACCATAGTTCCAAAGTGGTGCGAACTGGATTTCGTCCATCCACAGAAATCGGCCGAAACTCCACACAGCCAAACAACCTTCAAAACGCCAGGTGTTTCGCGCCGCGGTGTGACCAACCTGGCAACACTTGCACACATTGCGGGTCGGCTTCCTACTACCAAGCCACTGGGCAGAAAATTTGCGGATAATTATCCTCCCCCAGGGAGTTCTCTTCCATTCGCCGCTTGTGTTGGGGCAAGCTTGGCAAACCTCCAGGAATCCGGCACCTTCACGGGTTATTTTTTGGTCTTCCAAGCAAACACCTTTCCGAATCAAACGTGGAAAGGGAGCATAGAGCACCAAAAACGACACGCTCAGCTTGAGGCCGAAGCACTCTGTCCGTGTCAGGAGTTCCCTTCGGAGAACACAATCATCTGGGGTAAAAGTGCGCTTTAAACATCCAAACTTGGCCCAAGAAGTCGTTTAGCGCACCACAAACAACGATATGAGGACCCTGACCAGTTACCCCGCACAAGCCCACAAAGCATGCCCTGACCCTCTTTGAAGCTTCAGGCGCGGCCGGCAGCATCCTCGCAATGCGCGGCTCCACGGCCTTGCCGCAGGCGGCGGTGCGAATCCGCAGCTCCAGCGTGGGCCTTGCTCCTGGCTTCGTTTCCTTGGCTTCAGCTCCCTTCCTGAGGTAAAGTCCGCTGGGGAAATTCCACGGGCAAAAGTCCCGCGGGGAAAATTCCAGGGGGAGAACTCCGAACGGAGAGGTCCAATAGGAAAAGCTTCAAAAGCAGAACTCTATTGGGAACCAAAAGAACTCCGAAGGGACAATTCCAATGCGACAATTCCAAAGGAAAATTTTCCAACGGGATAATTTCCCGAAGGGAAACGAATCGACACCTTTGCGAGAAAGCAGGCCTCTCATGCCAGCCAGAGGAATGAAAGTAACGATGCAAACATGGAGCAAAGGGACTGAATGATTTCTGTGGAAGGGTCGGGGCACCGCAGAACTCTTAGGCATTGGGCAGCACCAAGGTACAACCTTGGTATAACTTGACTTGAACCAATCACCTAGAAACAAGGTAGGGTAGGTCTTGCGCACTAGCCAGCGTGCCATCCCGAAAACAAAGCACACACACACACATCCGACCGGGGGCCTTCAAACGAGAACGTGCCGGGCTCGCCTTCCCCCACAAACAGGCGGAAGGTGTGATCCTGCCCAGCATACCTACGGTGTCATTTGACAGCTTCGACGCGGGGGTTGGAGAAAAAAAAGAAACATGGGCTGACCATTCGTTGAAAAGCCGCAAGACAGATTTGAGATTTCAACCACATGGGAAAAGCTACCCAACGTCGTTTTGGGAGGAACATTGCTCAACCCTGTAGGCTTCTCGCTTTGGCAACGAACCGAGGAACCAACCAGTCTGTACACGCTCTGAAAAGCATACTTGTCGAACATTGGAGTTTCACAAAGGGTACCAACATCCAAATATCTCCAAAGCACCTGATAAGCAAGCTCGATAGCCGGGATGGTCAAAGAGACCCGAGCTTGAAGACTTAAAGGGTCAGGACAAAGCTTCAACGGGGTAGCAGAGGCACACGGTGGGTCAAACATGCAATCAAATTCGTGTTTAATAAGGAAAGGTGTCAGAGATCCACAATGCCCAATCCCAATCCACTATCCTGCATGGAGAACGACTACCCAAAAGAGGCCCTTTTGCAACTCAACGGCTGGATTCAAGATTTATTTTCCGCAACCCACTAGCTAGAGGGGAAACGCTACTTCTCCAAGAGCTTCAAATGAGTATGTGTCAAAGAAGGGCGGAGACACCAAACTCGTGGCCTTCCTTTTAACTATAGCTTTACAAGGCAAAGCCACACACACACACACAACTGGTTGTGGTCAACCCAAAAGACGAGCAATCTATCCGCTCGCGCTGCGATCCCAAGCTCGTCTCATGGGTCGCCGGAGTTGGCATTTTTTGTTTCGCGTTGGACGTCTTGTAGCTAGGTCCTCCAGTAGAGAGGTTAGAATAAGTTGGTACCCGATTCTTATCGGTTTTGTCTATTTTAGGATCGGTTGGAAGCCTCCCTTCTCCAAAAAAGTTGGGTGAGAGGTCGGGCACCAAAAAGGCTGGGGGACCTAGGCCCCTGGATCCCAGTCACACAGTCAAGTCCCAGCACTGGTCCTTTTGGGTTTCTTTTTGGGCGGCTCCCGAGATTCCCTGGTTGGCCCTTAAGGAGGAAGGACTCTGAAAGGCTTCTAAGAAAGGGTTTAGGGTTTAGGGCTTGGGGGAACCCCAAACACCAAGTAAACATTTGGCGAGTTCTGTTGCGAGACCAAACAAACATGACAGAATGTAAAGACACCGAAACCTGACGCGGTTTCTAAGCTCCTAAGGTAAGTTACACCTAGAAGCTACGGACTGGCACTGAAACAGTTTTATGGATCTCTCCCTTTGCATTTGTCCTAAAAGGTAGGCTAAAACCAGGGGCTTTCGGTACCTTTTCTAGGAAGCTACCCAGAATCGGTGTTGATACGACGTAGCTTCCTCTAGGGTATCTAGCACCCAAGATTACCCAAGCGTCTTGGGACCCCCCCTTAAGGTTCAATGATTCAACCTTCCAGTGGCGCCTTTCCCACCATGGGGCCCATTTTGGAAATCTTGAAACCATGTGTCCTTTTGGGAAAATAGATGACCCTGGTAGATGATTGAACCACCAGGTAAACCAGGAATCGCCTTCAAATTTTCAACCAAACCAACCAAAAAGGACCCCCCTTGGAGTCTGGAGGCGCAAGCTTCCACAACGGAGGGCCAACTCTACCCTCAGCTCCCCTCCCTTTGGAGGTTCAAGCTTCCACTTCCCAGACCGAACCTCCCACCCATGGAACCTCCCACTTATGGCCGGAACCTCCCACGCAGGGGGGTCTTTTTGCCACCTTTGGTGGAAAAATGATCGACCCCCTTGTAGTGAAGGATTCCTTTTTGAGGGGGTCGCAAATTTTCAAAGACCAAATTGGTGGCAAAAAGACCAGGTGCCAAAAAAAAACAAGGCCGCCCGGCCCCTTATCGCTCGATCCCTTCGGCCGACGCGGCAGGAAGTGAAAGTCGCAGGTCCCGGAAATGGCGCCCTCCGGGCCGCTGGCCGGCATCATTCGCTCGCTGCCCTGGCAGCGAGAAGCCGAGAGAGAAGCGTTCCACAGCCATCCAAAAAAAGGAGATCCCTTAGTGGCTCATCATATATTTATGGAGTAATCAAGAAAAAAGAACACTTTAAGGGAAAAAGTCGGGAGATCCGATTCCACTACCAAATCAATACTCCCAAGCAACAAAGGTCTGGTAGATTTCCCTTGGCTCAAAAAGTGAGTGGATCAGCTACACATTTGCCCAGTAAATCTCAGCCAAGCCATAGAAGGCAACCAGCCATTTATCTTTTAGTGGCTGGAGGGCTGGCTCCGTTGGTTGCCTCCTGCATTTTGTCAAAACAAGGCATCGCTTGTTTGGTCCATGTTTACTCCCGTAAGCCAACCATTTTGAGGTTCCGAGCTGGTGGTGTGCTCAAATGGCGGCCAACCCAAGATCCGGGCAAAATCTCTTGAAGGTAGCTGTACCCGGGTCCGTTGAAGTGACGTCCTCAAACTGATGTTGTCCTCCCTTCGTAGCAAATACACGACAAGTATCGAACGCAGGCGCTAACTGCGAGGAATCTCCAGGGCTCCGCTGGAAGTTACAGGCTCCTCCCCCACGACCTTGGAGGAGGGGGGGGGGAGTCTCAAGCCTGGAGCGCCCTTCATGTCCGAAATGTCCGCCCTTAGCCCACACGCTTTGCTTGCAACACCAGGGGTCGTCACCAAAATATGGTAATCTCGGTTGCTTTCTGCTCCCCTAAAAGTTTAACTTTTAGTGGTTTAAAGGAAACCCATTAGTTGGCAAAAAGCAAAAATCCTAACATCCAAGCAAAATGTAACAGAGTAAACGTACATGTTGTTCCGGCTTCGAGCGTTGTTCTCCCCAAATTGGGCTGAGCGGTCCTCTAAGATGATCGGTCGCTGAAAGGAGCGAGCAGAGATCAAGGTGCAACACGAGTGCAAATATCCGCAAAACGAGCGCAGATATCAGCAAAACGAGCGCAAATCTTCCGCAAACCAGCGCATTTGTTTTTTGTTAAAAAGAAAACGTGACAATTGCTCCAAATGGCAGCTTGAAGGGGTTTGCCACCATCAAAGTCCAAACGTAAACTTGATCACCCTTCAAGATCTAGCCACATCTTGCTTCCCGAGCTTTGCCAAAAAAGTCTGGACGCTTTGTCTACTAAAACGGACTTCCCAAAAAGTAGCCCGAGAATCGGAACGAAACTGGGATGTCCTCAGATCTCCCGCTCAAGTCTGACAGTTGGTGGTTTGGTGGAAACTATCACTAAACCCTAAAGCACATCTGAGGGAATCTTGGTTGACGTTGGAAGGGGAGCAACAATTCTACAATTTCAGCAGTTCAGTGGTGGGATTTCAACCACTCAACCACAAAAAGCAAACATGTAAAATGTAAAACCCAACAACAAGCATGGAATGATCACTAAACCCTACAGCTAAAAACCTCAGAAGCCGGATGGCTCGGATTGAACCCGTTGGCTCGCTCCGGCTTTCCCGCGCCTGCGGCACTGGGCAGGGTGTCAACTCTGCTTTCACGGGCACCTCAACTTGTCGCTGGGTGAGTCACAACCCGAACCAGGTACTTCGCGTCAGTCAGAGTTCCAGTAAACTGGTCTGAGTTTCCTTCTTGGTACTGAAACCTAGTGACCTATTCCCAAATCCATATGCAACCATTCTTGGAAAACCATCGGGCATTTTCCTAAAAAACCCGGCCGATTTCCCTGAGGTTAACTAGAAAGAAGCGGATCCCTGGAAAGAATGGGGAGGTACTTCTAGCACTTTGGGTCAGTCAGATTTCCACCGACCTAGTCTAAGCGTATCACCAAATTTGGGGCCCAAAGTCTGGGCTGTTGTTTTAAATCCCCTAAATGGTTTAAACCTTCAGTGGGTTGAATGGAACCCCCAAATACCCATCAAACAAACCGAAACACCCGAAGTGAACGGCTGGGAACTGCCCAGAAGTTGAGTGTCCAAGTGATCTGGCCGGACATCTGCCCAGCATGTCACGGTTTCCATGTGGATTTTCGGACAAAGGCACAGTGGTCTTGCTTGGTGTTGCCAAAATAAGACCTACCAAAAGGAAAGCCAGCCTTCGATTCCAGAGTTCTGCTTGGAGCTCTGGATCTCGCCCTTCAACCCGCTGGCTCAAATGGGGAAACACTGGGACGCCCTCTGTTTGTTCGTTGATTTTGCAAAGCCCCCCGCTCCTCCCCCTTTTCTTAAAACACAAGGTCATATCTCGGTTGATTTTACAGCCCCCCCCCACCAAAAAAACAAATAAACAACAAACTGATAATGATAACCCTAATAGTTGGTGTTATTATTATTATTATTAATATTATTATTATTATTATTATTATTATTATTATTATTATTATTATTAGTATTTATTATTATTAGTATTAGTATTATTATTATTAATATTATTATTATTATTATTATTATTATTATTATTATTATTATTATTATTATTATTATGATTATTATTATTATTATTGTTATTATTATTATTATTATTATTATTATTATTATTATTATTATTATTATTATTATTTTTTATTACTGTTATTATTATTATTATTATTATTATTATTATTATTATTATTTTTATTAATATTATTAATTATTAATATTCTTATTATTTGTACTTATTATGTGTGTGTTCTTATTGATTATACAGACCCCCCCATTTCTTCGCTGATTTACAGAACCCCCGCCCCCCCCAAAAAAAAAAAAAAAAGGAAAGAAATAACAACAATCAAATTCTTTGTTGATTTTTGCGGGCCCCGATCCCAAACAAAACAACACAACAAGTCGGGCGATCTTACGGACTCCCCGCCCCGCCAAAAGGGCCCCGCGTGTTTGCAACCGGAAGGCACTGCTCCCAAAACACGAGACTCCTCGAGACTCCTGGTTCTACATGGGAGTCGTGCCTTTGGTACGCAAACTTCTTTGGGTGTGCAGGACAACCAAAGAAAAACAACCACGTTTTGGCTGATTTACGTCACACTCTTATAAACCTCAATATAAACCCCACGAAACCAGGCAGTAGAGCCAGCTACTAAAGTGGGCACTGCTCACTTGGGCACTGCTCTCACGTGGGCTGCTGGTTGTCTAGTGTAGGTTGAAGACACCGACACAAACTTAAACATTAGAAGTCCTGCGTTTGATTTGTGCTATTGTGGCTAAAACTCACTCTCAGTCTCTTTCTCAATCTCTGTCTGTGCCTCGGTGTGCCTCTCTGTCCACAAGCCCACGAGCTGTCGCTTTTTGGCTCCAAGGTGCAGCATGAACTCTGGGGTCCAACTGCACCTTCCACTGCACCCGGATGGAGTTCACCTTCGGTGCTCCCAATGACTTAGCTGTGGCTCAAAAACTTGGATTCCAAATGGCCCCCTTGGTAAATGGAACCAAAGACCAAAACCCGCTGTTTGCCCTGGCTCTTAATTTTTCAGCCACGCCCACTTGGGTGGAGACAGAAATTCGAATTCCATCGGATTCAGGGCTTCTCAGCTTGATAGAAAAGGGGGAAACCACACGGAAAACCTCTTGTTTTTCTTCGGGGGGGGGGGCGTCCCCCTATCTTGGCACACCCAGTGGTTGATCATTAAAAGTCAAACTTTGAGGGGGATATGGCAACCTTCCAGACTCGATACACGTTAATGGCTGGCGTTTGGGTGTTCTAATTTTGGGTGTTGCCCTTCAAGCGCACAAACAAAAGACGCTTCTGGGAATTTCAGTGGCTGCCCAAAACATCACTCTGAGTTTCCCTGTTGCACGATTCCCTTTTCTGTGAGCAAAAGCCACCAAAAATGGATGCTTTCAGCCAGCGAAGGACCTTCTCAGACAAACTTGGAGCGGAGAACAGGTATATCCCTTGTGGTCAGACGAGCTAAGACTGTTCCAAATTGCAACTCTCTTCAAATAAACCAACGTTTCTGCAGTTGGAGAGGGGTCACTGGATGTCCCCTCCAACAAATGCAATTCACTGGTGTCCATTGCGACTAGCCTTTTCATGACAGGTAAACCAAATGCCAAACCCATTGTAAGCAGCATTGGTTCCATACAAAGCAATAAACAAGAAAGCCTTCCAAAAGCGGATGCTTGATGATGTTTCAACCACTAGGTCCTCCAGATTTGAGAGCTTAGAATAAGTTGGTACCCTATTTTTTCTGCAGTCTATTTTCGAAGAGTTGGAACCCTCCCCCAGAACAAGGGCTGAAGGGCATCAATTTGCTGGCCCTCTCCAAAAGGGAAACTCGAGGCTCGCTCGCTCGCCCAGCCCCATCGCACCGCTTCCCTCTGAGCTGCCGCACGGTGGCCTCGCACACCACCTCCGGCACCACCTCCGGCGCGGTCGGCGCGTCCGGCGCGGCAGTCGGCGCGTCCAGCGCGACGCCGGCGGCGCCCATTGGATCGGACGAGATTGGAGATCGGATCGAAGGGGACAGGCGAAGCTGCCGTGGCCTTGCGGCGGCGATTTACAAAAAAAAAACTGGAAGACTCAAAGGGCTCTGCTGAGTCCGGGGTTGCCAGTGCAGATTTGAGTCTGTTGTTTTTTTTGGGTTCGCTCCCATTCTGGTGGTTTCCTTTTGGTTTCCCTTCAAACCCACCTTTTAAAAAGGGGGTTCCCCAAAAAAGGAGCTATAGCACCGCCTTTGGGGCACCAAGAGCATTTTGGACCTGGACAAAAGCGGAAAAGGTGGGTTGTTGTTGTTTTTTTTCTCCGATAAGCTGCTGGCTGCAAGATGATTTGGGCCGGCTGCTTGTTTTTTGGAGCCTCGAGTTGGTGCTGCGTGCTCATGGCGGGTCACCAGTGATACGCCATCGCTTGCTTCACTGGAAGTCTGGTGGCCATCCGTTCAATCCTGCGGCAAACTTTGACTGCAACCAGTCCTAGGTCCTCCAGTAGAGAGGTTAGAATAAGGGTACCAACTTTTTCTGTAGTCTATTTTAGAAGGGGAACCCTCCCCTAAAAAGGGTAAAAAGGCACTACTGGGGACCTAGGAGTCCATCTGCGCGAGTTCATCTAGTTCGAGAAAAGGAATCTTTTTAGGGGCCTTCATGCTCGTGGTACCCCCGGGTTTGCTCGTTATGTGCAGGTTCATGCACCCAGCAAGTGCAATCTGACCCAGTGTGCTTGCGATATCTTTGCGCCCACGTGTCATCCACTTGGCGGTGAAACCACTCAAGACAGAAGCATTCTCTGGCCAAAGCCATCGTGCCGCAGTGTCACGCGTCCACTCGGTTGCGGAAAGCAGGTCGCGCAAATGGATTGGACAAGCAGGTCGAGCCGCTTGTGGAGTGGGTGAGGGCAACTGCGGGAAAATGAGCGATGCGCAGACTTTGCGCACACACCTCTAGTGACTCAGGTTTTGTTTGAAGGTTGCTTGCATCAAGGGAAGGGGGTTCTGCCAATGCAGCAACATTGTTCGCTCCAGAAAGATGCCGCTGATCTTCAAGACACGGCAAGCAATGAGGCTGGACAGAGCTTGAACTGCTTGACAGCATCTTCCAGACTGTCTAGGTCCTCCAGTAGAGAGGTTAGAATAAGGGTACCCCTTTTTCTGTACTCTATTTTAGTAGGGGAACCCTCCCCCAGAAAAAGGGTAAAAGGGCACCTAGCTGGGAGACCTAGCTGCATATAGTCCTCGCAAGGCCCAGCTTGAACCTCCCAAGAAGCGTTTCTCACAAGTCCGAGGCTTAAATCCTGGTGCACTGACATCTGATCTTGGCGAGGAACCCGATTTCCAAAATGTGGCGAGTGTGCCCCAGGTCATCCCCATTTCTACCTTCAATTTGCTGAAGTCAGGTGGAAAAATAACAACAATCTAGTAGTGATCGATTCCCTGAAAACCAACAGGGGAAAATAAGAAACGTTCATTCCAGCAAATGGACGCTACACTGGATGGATAAAAACAAATAATCACCCTTTCAATCCTTCAGGCACTTTCTTGCACTAGCGCAAGTAGTCTGCACATCACCGCCCCTCACGGGCCACTCGGAATACAAAATCTGCCTGGATCACTTGCTTGCGAGGCACTGACATGTCAATGATGGCATTTTGAGCTGTGAAAGGATGTCATAGAACTGCCCGCTTTCCAACTCGAATTAAAGGAAAGCGCAAGGGATGGTTTGTAAGGGTCATTCGCTCATGTCCCTGCCAAGCACCTGAGAGTAATTCACAACTGTTGGCATCCTAATCCGATCAGTTTCTGTGCCACGATGTTTTTGTTGCGAATGGCCAAAGAAGAAGCAGGACGCAGAACCCGGGTCCCAACAACAAACTGCTTCTTGGACAGTACCAATTTGGGACAAAGCCGAAAAGTTGGGGCCTGCTGGAAGCCAATGGAACGAACTCCCCGGCAAAATGCGGATGGCATCCTGACCGCCCCCCCGCCCCGGGATTGCTCCGGGGGCTATCCGCAGAAATCTCTGAGTCTCACCGATTTCAACAACCTTTCCAGCTGCAGACAGCTGTTGCTGCCGCATCACCGACACAACTCGATCGGTGCCCCGCTCCAGAAAACTTCACTCGACCGCATTGAAAACGCGGTGGTCAGATTTGGACTCGGCACCGGCCCGCTAAATGAGAGAGGCCCCCCCGTGCGCGCGCTATGAAGCCACTTCCACGTCAAGTTTCGAATGGTCAAAACGCTTGCCCAGGAACGAAAGACCATGTGGTTGTCAAAAAACAGGGGGCCTGCATGGGCCTGCAGTTTTATTGAAATGCCCCCCCCAACAAAAAAACAACAACAAAATGATTCGCCATGTTGTCAATCTTCAGTGACGTTTTTTGTGTCCGGACTCAAACCCCCTGCAGATGGAAAAAATGGACAAACCGCGGAAGGGGAAGTGAAACTCCTGGTCAGCCCGTCTCACAACCGATAGGAAACAGACTACCCGTCACACCGACACCGGATAATCGGAGAAGATCATAAATCAAAATGTCGAAAAGAAGGATACAAAGAATAGAGCTTCAATACGACTTCATTTTTTTGGGTAAGTCTCTTCAACCTGCAAAACCATAGGAAACCCACGTGTTCGTCTCAGCTCTTCCTTACCCAGGCTGCGTGTGTCCTTCCCTTAGCAAAAGCAAGTCACCTTTTGTAGGTTGAATGGAAAAGCTGCTTGTTTCCAACATGTGGGCTCAGGTATGGAAAAGCCAAGCCTGCCAAAAGCTCTAGGAAACGAAACAAACCTTCCCTGAGCAAAAGCTGGTCACCTTTTGTAGGTTGAATCTGCTTTCCAAAAGGTCCAGGAAACTAAACAAACACAAGCCTTTCGATGGAATTGTATCTCCCCTTAGCTTTGGATCGATGGATCCAACTGCGCCTTCTCTTTGGCTGCAAAAGGGGGCCTCTGGAGAACTGCAGGCACCATCCAGGGGGGATCCGCCAGTCGAATCGATCAGCAAACTTTGAGCTACTCTTATGGACCCAGTTCTTGTGTGCTGTAGATCCCCAGCAAACATTTAAACTGTTTGCTATTTAACAGGAAATATGAGAAAATCCAAAAAGTTAAAGTCCAAAGATTCAACCGAATAGCAGTAGAGAGTTGATATGCGTTCTTTGTTGATGCCACACTTTTTGGCAGTTTCATGGGAAACTAATAGGAGTCACCTATTACATACCACATACCCAATTGAGCAACGTCCAAACCGATTCCTATTGCAGTGGTTCGGTTCTACTTGAGTTGGTGGGCATCAATTTTTGGGGCTCCCCTATTCTTGGTTGCTGTTGGCCCCTCTGCAAAAAGTTTAACTTTTGTGGGTCCACTGGAAAGTCCACTGTTTCCCAAGTAGTTAAAGTCCAAAGATCTAACCAAATAGCCAAAAACACAAATTTTCAGACCAGCCCATGTTTGGAGCTTGTTTCTCACCTTTTCCGCGAAAGGCCAGCTCCCGTTAGCACTGCTTGCCCCACCCCAAAAGAATTGGCAATAGGAGGTTGCAGAGAATCCGTTACCAAATCGCCACAAAGAGTACATATCCCTTTCCCCGGAAAAAGGAAAACCCTCGAACTTCAAGGTTGGCTACTCAGGCCACAAGGCCTGCCTGATCGATTGCCTGACACGCACCCTGGAGCAGCACCCAAGGGATGAACAATTCGCGCGCAGTTTTGCGCGCAGTTTTCGTACCCCTCAGTGGCCGAACCAAATCTTGAACCTGGCAGAGGGGATGTGCGTGTCACAAACCCCGTAACAAGCACAAGCACCCTTCTTCCACTAACATGGCATTAGCATTTGTGGGAGGGCACCGTGAAGATCAATTTCCTCTTCGACGGACCGTGTGTGGTGCCATGCATGTTCGGAGGGAGGGAAATTCTTGGTTTCCTTGCTCTTGCGTGTTCTTTCTCTGAGCGCTCCTAGGAGGGCCAACAAAAAAAGGACACCCCTATAGATTGATGGGTGCATGGGCCTCTTTATTTGGCCCGTCTGTTGCCCACTGGTGTAGGGTTTGGAACTATTTATAAATTGGTCAGGGTGTATTGGAGGCTTCTGGTTGGGAACCCTGAAAGTGTGCAGGGCCAAGAAAAGAAGCTTTGATGCAGATCACTTCTTAAGGGTTGGCGGGATTTTGCAAGAGACACGCGCGCAGCCCGCAGCCATGTTTGCTGGAGGGGCGCTGGCATGACAGGGGAACATGGCAAGAGCATGTCAAGAGCATGGCAAGAGAGCACAGGCAGGACAGCAGGACGTGCAAGCAGAGCTTGGGTGTGGTAGACCATGTCGCGCCAAGAAGATGAGACGCAGAGACTTTGGCTGCTACTATTATTTGGGTGACTCAGAGTTCCTATGATGGCATCCTGGGCGGAACTGAGGAGTTGATATTATGGGTGTTCATACTTCATCATACATTGTTACTGACTGTTGGATTAGATTAGATTCGTTTGATTTCCTACTAAGGGCCATCTTGCCAGCCCTCAAGTGCTTCAAATGGCCCGAGCTGTACAAGAAGGCCCTCAACCTGGAATGTGCTCCCGCTGCGTTGCGCAAACGAGCTGTGCTGCTTGGCTGCAGGCGCAGGTTGGGAAGATGAGGCTAAAGCGGCGATGGCTGGACGGCTAGTTGGTTTGCTTGTGAGGCAGCTAGGCTAGGCAGGCTAAGCCAGTCAGTTAGTTGGTTTCGTTTTTCTTCAGGTGTTGGTAAGGTTTGCTGTGTGGCTGTTACAGTTACATGCTGACTACTGACATGTGACATGATGACACACAGTGACACACACAGACACGCAGTATGTCACATACAGATACGTGGTGCATGATACTGTACTTGGATACTGTGACCAACAGCTGGTGGATGAGAGCAGCCTAGGCTTTCCTTGGTCGAGGGATGCGCCGGTGCAGCAACTGGCACGTACATCATGAGCCTTGTCAGCAGCTGGTTTGGGCAGAAGGCAAACGAGCGTTTCTTTGACCAATTTCCAGCTCTTTAGATTGGTGATGATGCATTGACTTAGGCTTTGACTCAAAGCCCGAGTCGGGTCACACTTAGTGTCAACCTAGACTTCGCTTTCTTAGGCTTGGGCTGTCCTTAAGGCCCGAAACGAGACAGCGAGAGAGAGAGAGAGGGAGAGGGAGAGGCAAGGAGGGACCCGGCAGCAACTCACACAAAGGCACACACACACACACTTTAAACACAGTTTTTTGCGCGGACTTGTCAACTCGAGGCGGGAGATTGGGGCCGAGCTTTCCTTCTCCTTCCGCACAGGAGCCTGCATGGAGATGAGCGAGATGAAGCGGCGGTTCATCCGGACAAACTACTCTGGCCAGGGCTGCTGGGATGGGTTGAGCGTGGAGAGATCGGGACTTTCAGAATTTGCAGTTTCATTTCACCGACCGGATTCACATGTCTGTCACATCTTAGAATATTCCAAAAACCAATCATCAGCATCATCATCAACATCATCATCATGCCATGTCACATGTCAAATCAGAATGTCACATGTCACATGTGACACACGCACACAGCACACATGCCATCACATGTCACATGTCTGTCATCATCATCATCATCATCATCAACACCATCACCATCACCAACAACATCGAATCATCATCATCTCATCATCATCATGAATCATGAATCATTAATCATGGCTGGCTGTCCGGTGGACTTGCACACACTATAACCCAGCTGAAGTTGGTACTAGTTGTCCTAGTTGTAGTGTTCCGATAATTCTGTGTATGTTTTTTGAATCCAAATCTTTGGCTCGGAAGTAGTTGCCTAAGGGCCTAAGGGGGAGACCGGGGTTGAGGTGTAGTAGCGGTGGGAGGTCATGTGTCATCGCGCCCGCGTTTGGGCTAAGTACAGCACATCTTCAACGAAGTCGCTGACATTGACAAGCGTGGTCATGGCCCTTGCCTACTTCATCAAGGCCAGCGTGGATCATGCGCCGAAGACATTATGGTAGAGGACAGGGGTTGTGCGAGGCTAACTGCTAACAGTCAAAGGCTAGCAGTCAAAGGTTAGCAGCAAGGCTACGGCTCGGGGTAATGTAAAAGGCAGAGTACCGAGGGGTTCACCAAAGACGTTCGGGAAACATGATCCGACCCGCGAGCTTGACAGGACATCTACGCGGCCGGTCCACCATGTCAACCGTACTCGCGTTTGAGTACCCTCAAGCGTAAGGCGAACTTCAACCCGTTCCTTACATCAGATGGAGCCGCTTTCATGGACTCGTCCCGGCACATCAGACACTTGACAATGCAGTGAGAAGGGGGATCGAGTTCAGATAGGTGGATGATTCCTGGATGATTGAAGAATTGGGTACGTCATTGGGTTGCACTTGCTAGGCGAGGTCCTTTACAATTGAGCAAATTTAAGCTTGCTATGCTAGCTGCTACCATGCAAAGTTTGCGATCGCTTGGTAGCTCGCTGATTTGGAACAGACTGGGCTGAACATTGGCTGCCAAGGACGACAACAACCGCCGGTCGCAATCATCGAGGAGGCGCGCCGCTGTGGGGTCGGGCCGGGTCGGGAAAGCAATGTTTGGGACTGGAACGACTCACTGTAGACTGGAGAGGAAGGGTAGACTTAGATCGCCAACAGTCCACGTAGCAACACAAGCCTAGCCTTTTGTTGTTTGTCGCAGGTCTACAGCATCTTCGACAAGTTTCCCGCCAGCTGCAAGGGGCCTTTCTTCGAGGCCTACGAGGCTGACTGGGCAGGCGGCAGGCTGCAGGCTGGTTCAGGTGTAAGCTGCGAGCATAGCGACAGATGTATTTCTGCATTTTGTCCTTTAAAGCCAGCAACTAAAAAAAGTAGAAAAGCATCTGTCATCATCCGTCAGTAGGGAACGTGTGAGGGGTGCTGAAAGACGAGAAATTGTAGTTGCCCTTTAAAGGCAGGTTACCGGTTTCTAGTCTGGGCGAAAGCAAACAGACCACCAACGAGCAATGCGAAACCCTCGCCACTTCTGAAGACATTCATGTTGCAGGGAAGGAAGGGAACGTCGAGTTTGCAGCAGGCACGAAACCACAACTAATCCAACGCCGCTGTTCAGTTTGTTAAACATGACCCGTCCTTTCTCGAATTGTTGTCCTGGGCCCGAGAGAAAAATGCGGCTTGCAACGTTTGTTTTGGATCTTTGCTGGGATCAAATCAGATGATAATGGATTAGCTGATCTTTGATCTTTGAACTTTGATATGTGGAGCTGAACCAAGGAACTTGAGAAAATGCTCGCACGCTGCGCTTCTCTTATTCTGGTTGAACGTGCGGCTGTTTTTGGACTACCCGATCAGGCTCGCAGAACGAGCTCAATTTCAGAAGATGAATGTTTGCCCAGTTGAATTGGAGATTGAACAAATTCGAGACCCAGGACCCCTGTCACCTGTCACTGTCAAATCGAGAAGTTTCTTGTTGCCTGGCAAGACTAATGTGTAGCTGTGCAGGAAACAAGGGAATCAATGAAATCAACCTCATCTAGCGCAGTGGCCGAAAAGTGTGTTGTTCTTCGGTGCGTTTTAGGCGGTTGAAGGCCAGCTCACGTCATGCCGTTGTCAGACTTGTGGAGCCATGTCGAAAGCGACGTTGACGAGAACTTTGAGAGTGGTGATGATGATGATGATGACCAGCAGTCTGATGAGTCTGATGATGGTAGAGAAGCGGCAGAAGCTGCCAGGGATAACGATGCTGCTGTGAACGTCTTGCTCAAGCGAAAGCTGCAAACGGCGCCAGCCCGTTTGGCCAAGGCTGTCAAGAAGGCGAAGCAGCAAGGGGCCGGTGATTCGACTATGCCTGCGCCAACATACGCTGAGCGCCTGCAAAAGGGATTTTTTCGCATCAGTATCAGAGAAGTTACCGAAGGGCAAGCTGCGACCCTGCAAACGACTTCAACGATGTCAAGCAGCAATTTGCAAGAGAGCGAGCTCGGTGCGTGTGGAGTTTTCTGGCGGGTCTCAAGTCTGCTGTTGTCTCGCTTTTTCAGAGAGGCGACGCCGAGCACATCCTGAATACCTGCATTGCTGACGACACGAGCACCAAGCTCAGGGCCCCAAATGCTGGGCGAAGCATTGTCTACACTGTGATGAACACCTTCCAGTTTGCATACATCAGGTTTACGGATGGAGTATGGGACAGCCTGCACATTCCAACTCCCCTGCGATGCTTGAACTCCAGCAAGGCATCTGCCATACACCATGCACTCACTTCGTGGTTGCTTGTTACGGCATCCGGGCCTGGGCAGACTTGGCAAAGCTTGGGCTGCGCGCGCGACCTTCTTCATTCCGTCAAATGGCGAACCAGTGTTATGATTGGAGACGCGTTGAAAGCGAACGATGCAGCGTGGCGGGTGGAGAGGGAAAGACGGCATCGGGACGCTGCTGAGGGTTCGATTGGGATGCGGCTGAAATGTTGCAATCATCAGCTGTGTTTGGTGAGGAAGCCGACGGTGTTAGCCATTGAAAGACTGTGGGCGACGATAGTTCGCTTGGGTCATCTCATGGAGACACACTCCTTTCGGCGAGCCCTGGCAACTGCACTGGTGGCGCTGATTCAAGAAGATGGGCAGTTCGTTCGAGCCTTGGCTTGGAAGGGGTGAGAGCACCTTCTTTTCCTGTTTGTTCTGACTTGTTTTTCAATTGCACCTTTATTTTCCAGCATTCTTTCGACAAGTTCGAACTGGCTCCACAAGCAGTTCCTTCAGTTCGATAGCTTCCAGATAGTT